CGCGGCGGCGGCGGGAAACAACGACGGCGACGTCGGCCTCCAAGACCCCATCCCGGCCTGTGTTCGAATATGCAGGTACTCTTCACTCGTTCCCCTTCCTCTTCACCTGCTGCCCGCTAGCTCTCTTCAAATCTGCTTCTGCATCTTCTGTTAGAATTTGTTTTAGCTTTTGCTGCTGCTATTTCTAGCTAGTCTAAGACTGTATGTCTGTATAATTGGTTGGTAGCTCAAAACGAAACTTGCAAATGGTTGAGTAGATTTACATTTACAGGCAGCACAGCTTGCAAATGGGTGCTGATGCTGATGCCGATGGCGCGCTTGTAATGCACAAAACCAATGCCATGTCTGACGAGGATGGAAAATGAATCACTTTTCTTCCTCGTATTACTAGGTGACACGCATGTGACTGCCCACGTGACATGCATCAAACGTAGTATCTGAAACAAAATTATGTTCCTGCCTGCCTGCAAGTGGACGTTTTGTAATGGCTGTCGGTGCCAGTGGCCAGGTTAAATATTCTTCTTGTGATTGGCCCGAGAACAGATCTGACGCTGTATACGACCATTGTATACTGTATTACTGTAAACATTCAGCTAAAATATATTTCAATACATTTTAGAGTGCAAGAGAAGACAATTGGGGCGTTAGATTCAATTGCATATATGTTGAACCAAAGTGGAGGGAACGTTGATGCTACTCCTAAGAGGAAACAAATGATGCAATGGATTCACAGCACAACCTGTGAATAAGTGCTGAAACAAATTATCTTGCTGCCTGCAAGTGGGCGTTTTGTAATGCCTGTCTCAAATGCCTGTCAGCGCCTCGGTGTGGCCATTTTGATTACTTTATTAAAGCCTGCATCGCTAATGGCAAAATTCAATATTTTTGCTGTGGTTTGATCGAGAACAGATCTCAGGCTACATACAACCGTTGTATATTGGAGAGCTCAAGCACTATGCTCGTCCCGCTCACAACATTTCTCTTCTCAACTCAGGCATCCAAAAGCTTCAAGACCTCACAAAAATCTCCCAACTCCCATTCATCGGACTAGAGCCTGCCTACAGCCCCGCCCACACATCCGTTCGGCGCCGGCCGCCATAACTTCACCGGAGTCGCCTTCTGCTTCTGCGCCGCGTCGCCGGCACTGACAAGGCTCTGAATCTGCTGCTGCTGCTACCGCCGATACAATGCTGGAGCTGACGCCGACGTGCCTGTGAGGACCACGTCTTCCTCGCTGCTGCTGCTGCGTTGCTGGTCCTGGGTGCTAATCAGGGGCGAGCTCGTGAAGGTAACTATGGCTGTAAGATTGCATTTTCACTTGTAATTTGTTCAAGAACAGATCCCAAGCTCTACTTATACACGTCTTGCTCACACCATTCTCTTCTCCATTAATTTCTGCAGTGCACCTGTGTTAGAGGAGTTTCTTCCGAGCGTTCCAATGGCGGAGCTGGTGGTCACCATGGCGCTTCGGCCACTGGTGTCCACGCTGATGAACAAGGCGTCCAGCTCCCTCCTGGACCAGTACGAGGTGATGGAGGGAATGGAGGAGCAGCACAAGATTCTCAAGCGCAAGCTTCCCGCCATCATCGACGTCATCACTGACGTTGAGGACCAGGCCATGGCACAGAGAGAAGGTGCGAAAGCCTGGCTTCAGGAGCTCAGGACAGTCGCTTATGGGGCAAATGAAGTCTTCGACGAATTCAAGTATGAAGCCCTACGCCGTGAAGCCAAGAAGAATGGGCACTATAGAAAGCTCGGCTTCGATGTAATTAAACTCTTCCCTACTCACAACCGTGTTGCGTTCCGTTACAAAATGGGTCGCAAGCTTTGCCTGATTCTGCAAGCCGTTGAGGTCCTTATAGCAGAGATGCAGGTCTTTGGGTTCAAGTACCAACCACAGCCACCGGTGTCCAAAGAGTGGAGGCATACAGATTATGTTAGCATTGACCCACAAGAAATTGCCAGCAGATCCAGATACAAAGATAAGAAGAACATTATTGATATACTAGTTGGTGAAGCTAGCAATGCAGATCTAACAGTTGTTCCTGTCGTTGCAATGGGGGGCCTTGGCAAGACCACATTAGTGCAACTCATATACAATGATCCTGAAATTCAGAAGCATTTCCAGTTGCTGCTCTGGGTTTGTGTTTCTGATACCTTTGATGTGAACTCCATGGCCAAGAGTATAGTTGAAGCATCTCCCAATAAGAATGTTGATACAGACAAACCACCACTGGATAGACTTCAAAAACTGGTCAGCGGACAGCGGTATCTCCTTGTATTGGATGATGTTTGGGACAACAAAGAGTTACGTAAGTGGGAAAGGCTGAAGGTCTGCTTGCATGGTGGCATGGGCAGTGCAGTCTTGACAACAACTCGTGATAAACGAGTTGCTGAAATTATGGGTGCAGATAGGGCACCCTACAATCTCAATGCTTTGGAGGATCACTTCATAAAGGAAATTATTGTGGATAGAACATTCAATTCAGAGAATGGAAAGCCTCCCGAGCTACTCGAGATGGTTGGTGAGATTGTGAAGAGATGTTGTGGCTCTCCATTAGCTGCAACTGCACTGGGTTCTGTACTTCGCACCAAGACCAGTGTGGAAGAATGGAAGGCTATATCATCTAGAAGCAGCATTTGCACTTATGAAACTGGAATTTTGCCAATACTGAAGCTTAGCTACAACGACTTGCCAGCACACATGAAGCAGTGCTTTGCTTTATGTGCTGTGTTTCCCAAGGATTACAAGATCAATGTGGAGAAGCTGATCCAAATATGGATTGCAAACGGCTTTATCCCAGAACACAAGGAAGATAGTCTTGAAACCTTTGGAAAACATATTTTCGATGAGCTGGTCTCAAGGTCATTCTTTCTGGACATAGAGACAAGTAAAGATAAATTGGAGTGTTATTCCATAACTACATGCAAAATTCATGATCTTATGCATGATATCGCAATGTTTGTTATGGAAAAGGAATGTGTTGTTGCAACTAGGAAACCAAGTAAACTTGAGTGGCTTCTAGATACTGCTCGGCATTTGTTCTTGTCATGTGAAGAAACAGAAGGTATTTTGAATGATGCTCTGGAGAAAAAATCCCCTGCCATTCAAACACTGATATGTGATAGTCCTATTCGAAGCTCATTGAAGCATATATCAAAATATAGCTCTTTGCATGCCTTGAAGCTCTGTCTGGCAACAAAATCATTTCTACTCAAACCAAAGTATCTGCATCACCTGAGGTATCTTGATCTCTCAGAAAGTTCTATCGAAGCACTTCCTGAGGATATAAGTATTCTATATAACCTGCAAGTGTTGGACCTTTCCAACTGCCATTATCTTGAACGACTTCCAAGGAAAATGAAGTATATGACTTCCCTCCGTCACCTCTACACTCATGGATGTCTGGCGTTGAAGAGCATGCCTCCAGGACTTGAAAATCTCACTAAGCTGCAGGCTCTCACAGTTTTTGTAGCAGGAGTTCCTGGCCCTGATTGCGCTGATGTTGGAGAGCTGCATGGTCTAAACATTGGTGGTCAGCTAGAGCTATGTCAGGTAGAGAATGTTGAAAAAGTAGAAGCAAACGTGGCAAACCTTGGTGGTCAGCTAGAGCTGCAGCATTTAAACCTTGGTGATCAGCTAGAGCTACGCCGGGAAGAGAATGTTAAAAAAGCAGAGGCAAAAGTGGCAAATCTTGGAAACAAAAAGAATCTCCGTGAACTGACATTAAGATGGACTGAGGTTGGCGAAAGCAAGGTGCTCGACAAGTTCGAACCTCATGCTGGGCTGCAGGTTCTGAAGATATATAAATATGGAGGGAAGTGTATGGGTATGCTGCAAAGCATGGTTGAGATCCATCTTTCTCGTTGTGAAAGATTGCAGTTTCTGTTCAGTTGTGGTACATCCTTCACGTTTCCAAAACTGAAGGTGCTTACACTAGAGCATTTATTGGATTTTGATAGATGGTGGGAAACAAATGAGAGACAAGAAGAACAGATAATATTTCCTCTGCTTGAGAAGTTGTTTATTCGGCATTGTGGAAAGCTGATAGCATTACCTGAAGCGCCGTTGCTTGGAGAACCAAGTCGTGAAGGCAATAGACTGGTATGCACACCATTTTCTCTGCTTGAGAACTTGTTTATTTGGTATTGTGGAAAGCTGGTACCATTGCGTGAAGCACCGTTGATGCATGAAAGTTGTAGTGGAGGTTATAGATTGGTACAGTCAGCATTTCCCGCTCTAAAGGTACTTGCATTGGAAGACTTGGAGAGTTTTCAGAGATGGGATGCAGGTGTCGAAGGAGAACCGATATTGTTTCCTCAGCTTGAGACACTATCAGTTCAGAAATGCCCAAAGCTAGTAGATTTACCAAAAGCACCAAAACTCAGTGTACTAGAAATTGAAGATGGCAAGCAAGTGCTGTTCCATTTTGTAGGCAGATACTTGTCTTCACTGACCAAACTGACAATGAATCTAGAATACACAGAAACATCATCAGAGGCTGAATGCACTTCAATTGTACTTATGGACAGCAAAGAGAAATGGAACCAGAAATCCCCTATTACAGCTGTGGTTCTAGGATGCTGTAACTCATTCTTTGGACCAGGTGCGCTAGAGCCGTGGGACTATTTTGTACATCTTGAAGAGCTGGTAATTTACAGATGTGATATGCTCGTCCACTGGCCAGAGGAAGTTTTCCAAAGCTTGGTCTCCTTGAGGCGATTGGAGATTAGAAAGTGCGACAATCTGACTGGATATGCAGAAACTCCTCTTGAGCCATCAACATCCAAAAGGAGTCAACACCTGCCAGGTCTGGAGTCCCTTAATTTATATGATTGTGCAAATTTGGTAGAGATGTTCAACGTCACGTCATCTCTCAAGAAAATGATTATTACTAGCTGCATGAAGCTTGAGTTTATATACGGCAAGCAGCAAGGCATGTCAGACTTGCTCCAAGGGTCTTCTTGCAGTGAGGCAATCGTGCGTGCAGCTGTATCAGAGTTGCCATCCTCACCCATGAGTCACTTTTGTCCACGCCTAGAAGATCTACATTTAGTTGCATGTGGAAGCTTACTAGCGGTTCTAAATCTGCCTCCATCCTTAAAGAACATATATATTGTTGGCTGTAGTAGTATTCAAGTCCTATCATGTCAGCTGGGTGGTCTCGAGAAACCACAAGTCAGTACCTCCATAAGCAGAAGTCCTATCATGCCAGAGCCACCAGCAGCAACAACACCAACTACAAGAGAGCATTTACTTCGTCCCCATCTCGAATATCTACTAATATTGGGCTGTGATAGTATGTTGGGTGGGACTCTCCGTCTGCCTGCATCCCTCGGGACTCTGGTCATTTTGGGCAACAGTGGGCTGACATCGCTGGAGTGTCTGTCGGGAGAGCATCCCCCATCGCTGAAGTTCCTTGATCTTGAAAGATGTAGTACCCTGGCATCCCTGCCAAATGAGCTGCAAGCATACGGGTCTCTCACATGGCTTCAAATTACAGGCTGCCCTGCTATAAAGAAGCTCCCTAGATACCTGCAGCAGCAACTGGGCAGCATCAGATACAAAAAACTAGATGCCCGGTATGAAGGTATGCTTATAACACGTCCTTCTATCTTTGCCACATTTAACAAACAGATCCATCCCATTAAATGTACCATGCCGGCATGTTTGTACAAGTTTGTTCTCCATTATTGTTCGTACGGTATAAATTTTTATGTTACATTAGTTTGTACATGTTTGTTAATCTGACGTCATTTGTGATATGTGCAGTTATGGCATTTAAACCGAAGACATGGAAGAGGATACCAAGGCTAGTCCGTGAGCGGAGTAAGGCCGCTCAAGAAGCAAGGGAGCGCTAGCAATCCGCTATGCAGGAGTAAACAGGTCGGTAACCACTTAGAAAGGGCATGTATTCCGATTGCTCTGAACAATGTACAAGATTATGTCATGATTGTGATCAATCGGCTTTGTTGAGCTTTGGCCTCTACCTTGTTCAGATATTTGTAATGCGAATCTAACGAATTTCCTCGGTTCAGTAGAAGTTAGGATAATATACTCACATGTGTGTCTGTGAGCTATCTATGTGCCTATCTCAAGAAGGATGTGGCGCTTTGGGTGGCCGCAGGAGCAAAAAAATTGGGGTCAACTATGCCGCGAGAGTAGTTGCTTTTGTTCCCTAGGGATGTTGTAGTTCATTCAAACTCATTCTCTTATTTAATATATGAGGCAAATCTTTTGCCTCTGTTTCAAAAATAATAACAATCTGTTTTTGCTCTGCTTAGTTGACTGAGAAGACACTGGCCTTTAGCTTATTCAAGAAACTTTCTCAACTGTGGTTTTATCTGTGGATTTTCTAGCATGATAGGCCTGATCCCTGATTGTTGCTCTGCTCTGCTAGGGGAATGGCCTGTGATTGCTTCTACAACTGAACTGTGCCGCAGTCGCTCTTGGTGGAGAACTGTCGGGGCCCGCGGTGTAGTGCGACTACTGCTTGGCGTCATTCGAGCATCTCTGAATCAACATCCCAGCTTCTACTGCTTGGCGGAGATCTTGATCTGGTTTGCTGCTGCTCAGTCAAGCAAGGAAACACAGAGAAGAAACAACGTAGAAAGGGCATGGTAGTTTATTTTATTTTGCTTCAGAAATTGTACCAATTTATGTCATAATTGTTATCTGCTCAGTTAGACTTTGATCTTTATCTTGTTCAAGATTCAGATACTTGCGAGGTTTAGTAGAGGTTGGTGTATGGGATGGATGTCATCATCTCTGGATTATGCAGATATGTATAATATACAATTAAGCAACAGTTTGATCGTCTGTATGAGAGAGGCATTTCTCATTTGTATGTAAGATGGTTAAGCAGCAGCAGCAGCAGGTGTCAGTTAGGCTGGCACTTGTTGAATGTGATGGCCCTGTATGTGCAGTTGAGAAACTAATCAAGATCGACAGTTGAATTGCTCTGCCCTGCTGCAAACTGTATATTTGCATGCGGAGGAATGGATTTCAGTTTCAGAATTTGTGAGGTACTCCTATGTACTATCTAGTTTCAGCATCGTTTATTCACATTAGAAGACATTTACTGTTGACCTTTTTAACATGTTCAGAACACGTGCTATTTGAAATGTGATTCTTTTTTTTTACCTGTTTCAATATTTGTATGTTCATATCAAGCAGTACAAGTTGGGGAAAAAAACACTCAGGTCCATGAACTGTTTCTCCTGTCTAGCATCTGTCTGTCTGTACAAATAAGTGATTTGTCCTTGGACATTTCCCTAGGTTTAGTGAGAGTTGGGATGTGTACTCACACTTGTGACCTGCCTAGGTTTGAGCGGCATTGATTGGCCTTCAACTTGCTAACAAACTTTGCTGTCCCGCGGCAATGCTGATTACTGGGGAGATAGATGTTGGGGGTTTCTGAGCAGATGGCTACGACATGCCGAATCATCCTTTAGCAGGAGGTAATAAAGATTAAACTTGTTGATAAACTTTGCTGTCTGTGATTGTTTCTGCACCGCCGTCGCTCTCAGTGGAGAATTGTCGGGGCCTGCAGTGCGCTGTGACTGCTTGTCCTTTGGGTGGGTCACAAGCAGTTTAGTCTTCAGTTTCGTCTGTCTGTTCCTCGATAGCCCAAAGACGGTCTGATATCTGAATAACTTGCTGGCTGCTTAAGAGGGAGGGCCGAGGATGCAGGAACCAAAAGAGCAGGCTGAGGATGTTGAGTCTGATTTCTTCCTATCAGTTTTATATTAGCTTCAATAAACTAGTGAGCTTGGCATTATTCAATATTTGAAATTTACGGGGCATTCAGCATGGTCAGAAACGCGCTGGACAGGTTTGCAAATCTGTCCAACTTATACTCTTGTACTCTTGTATAAAGTTGCTTACTGTAGATAATTTAAGACAACTCATATAAGTTCTTGATATACTCTTGTGCTCTTGGAGTGATGAAACGTGCGGGACAGGTGTGGGCATATCAAGTTCCTTTACTCTTGTATAAGTTGGTTACTACTTACTACTGTAGATAATTCAAGACAAATCGGTTTGCAAATGCAATTGCCCTTCTCAGCGGGAGACTCATTTCAACTTGTTGCCATTCTTTTCATGTGAATTGACTTCAACCTAACATAGTATTTTTTTCCATCAATTTGGGTTTGGCAAGGAATCATAAACGAAACATGCAATTAGGATGGTCAGATGACTCAAAAGACGTGATAAACAGTTCTTGACTGGCTTGCTCAAGAAATATCGCATGCTCACAGTTTATTTATTTATTTTCTAGAAAGGAGTATATATAGTCCACTGTCTTAGGGTGTAAAAGTGAATGCCATATGTTTCCAGATTTGCTTCTCTCTTTATCCAGCTGCAGTCTATCTAAAATATTGGAGGAAAACAAATGTACATGTATCCTCTCCCGCCTAATCCACCTCCCAATGTTTGTCCTCAGCGGTACGAGTCCATCGGCCACAACACTGCCTTTGTCGAGCCAGAGCTCATGTCGACGCCATCATTCGACTTTTCAATGACGCTGGAGTCCAAGGTCACGGTCATGACCATCGGAACCTCGTCGGTGAACGAGGGGAGCACAAAGACAGGCCACGCAAACTCCTAGTTTGTGAGTAGCATTGGTGGAAGCATCACACTTCGTTCATATGCTCATGGAGGCCAGCAACGGCAAGGCGGTCTGCTTTGATCCCTCCAAGATATGTTCATGCAGTCGGCGTGTACGAGATGTCGACCATTCTCACCCTGGCCTCCACTTTCAAGATCATGTGAAAAAAG